AAGGAGTAATCTACTACTACTACTACTACCCAATAACATGATGAATCTCAAAAATACACAGAGTGAAAGCAGCAGCCAGACACAAAATGGCACATAATACATGATTGCATTTATTTATCTATCTATTTTATTTTTTGAGTTGGAATCTCACTCTTTCCCCAGGCTGGAGTGCAGTGGCAAGCTCTCGGCCACCGCAGCCTCAACTTGCAGGACTCAGGTGCTTCTTCACCTCAGCCTTCCAAGTAACTGGAACTACAGGCACACGTCACCACGCCCAGCTAATTTTTTGATTTATTGTAGTGATGAGGTCTCGCCAGGTTACCCATGCTGGTCTCGAACTGGTGGGCTCAGGCAATTCTCTCACCTCAACCTCCCAAAGTGCTGGGATTATAGGTGTGAGCCACTGTGCCTGGCCTAATTCCATTTATGTAAGGTCCTAGAACAGGCAAAATGAATACTATCATGAAAAAAAGCAAATTAGTGGTTGCCCGGGATAGAGGATTGACTGTAAATGTGTACATAGTATCATTTTGGGATGACGGAAATGTTCTACATTTGATATCTTAGTGATTATACAGGTGTATACATTTGTCAAAATGCATCCTACTGTATTTTTTAATAAGGTAATTTTTTGAGACAGGGTCTTACTCTGCCACCCAGGCTGAAGTGCTGCTGTGACACAATCATGGCTAACCGCAGCCTTGTTCTCCTGGGCTCAAGCAATCCTTCTACCTTGGCCTCCCCAGTGACTGGGACTACAGGTGTGTGCCAGCACACCTGGCTAATTTTTTTTTTTTTCAGTAGTGATAGGGTCTGGCTGTGTTGCCCAGACCAGTCTCAAACTCCTGGCTTCTATCGATCCTCCTGCCTCGGTCTCCCAAAATATTGAGAATACAGATGTAAGCAACTGACCTGGTACATTTTTTAATATGTAAATTATACCTCAGTAATTTCCTTTATGATGCGGCTTTCTGTGACTCTCTCTCATCCTTAAATCAGCTATTGTCTATTCTTCTAAATTTATCATTGCATTTGTTGTCTTTTCTTACTCCATACTTCTTTCTTCTTCCATTTATCTCCTTGTCTTTACTAGGTGCTAACCTCTTATTTTTCTTTGTTTACCCTCCTCTAGCACCTTGCTCCTTACACTCTTCCAATAGACATTTATTAAACTGAGTTGATTTAATACAAAGAAGAATTATCTTATCTACTGCTTTGATCACAGCTCTGATGCCTGAAAAGAATCACAACAAGACCACACTTGTAAAGCAGTTGAAGATAGGCTTCCATAGGACAGTCTTGCATTTACACTTTAGGCCAGTCCTATTTTACATTGTATAGCATTGGGTGATAGACACATGGAAGATGAGTGCTCCTGGGCCTTGTAGAAAGTTGTCTTTTAGGGAAGTTGCCTTGTGCTGGTTTCAAAATTCTGGAGGATTTAGGTAAATTAGTCCAAATGGCAATGTATTTGATTCTAGTAATGAAAGAAAATCAGAATCACAGGAATTTTATGCTGGAAGGTGCCATAGATGCCATTTAATCCAACCCATTATACAGACCCAGAGAGGGTACGTAGCCTGCCCAGTACACACAGCAAATGAGTGACAGAGGTAGAATGAGAAGCCAGGCTTCTATCATGTACTAACAAAATAGAGAATTGGCTGCCTATGAAAGTGCTTATGAGTAGCCCTAGATAAGGCTTTCGTTGGGGTGAAATTGGAATTTAAACATGAACAAGATAAGTAAAAGAGCAAGCGTACAAGAGTTAACTGTCATTTACAGGGTCAGACCAAAACTGGAATCTTGGTGTCCAGGGACAAGGCTGCTAATCGGCTTATGTATTTTTGGTGATGTTTTTGTTTCATGTACCACTTGAGAAGTATAGATTTCTTTCCCTCCCTCTCTCCCTGCCCCCTCCTTCCCTCTCCCCCTCCCTCTCCCTCTTCCCTCCTTTCCCCTCTCCCTCTCCCCCCTCTCTTCCTCTCCCTTCCCCCCCACTTCCTGTCCCTCTCCCTCTCCCTCCCTCTCCCTCCATTCCCTCTCCCTCTTTCCCCCCCCCCCAGGCTGGAATGCAGTGGCAAGCTCACTGTCATCACAGCCTCAACCTTCTGGGCTTAGGTGATCCATCTCAACCTTCCAAGTAGCTAGAACTACAAGCGTGCACCACCATCCCTGGCTAATTTTTTGATTTATTGTAGAGACAAGGTCTCACCAAGTTGCCCAGGCTGGTCTCTAACCCCTGGGCTCAGACAGTCCTCTCGCCTTGAAGCTGGGATTAAAGGCTTGAGCCACCGTGCCTGGCCAAAATATTGATTTCATCTGTAAATGAAACCTAGTTTGTATACTTGTTGATGAATTTTCTATAGTAAGAATATACTGTAGCTTTTTGAGGAGTTATTAGTACAGTTAATTCTTGAACAACACAAGTTTAGACTGTATAGGTCTACTTAAATGCAGCTTTTTCTCATCCACTTGCAGATTAACAATACAGTATTCTTGGGATGTGAAACTCATGTACACAGAGGACTGGCTTTTTGTATACAAAGGAGAACCCCAAAAACCTGGAAAAAATTGTGTATTTATTCTTACATGTTTAAACTTCATAGTTTGATGTAAACCTCTCCGTTTGATGTAATACACACATCAAGATGCTACTTCCACTGCTCAAAACAGTTTTTGAACTCATCAATTTTGATGCCTTTTAATGTTTCTGCTGGGTCTTTTTTGTTTGCTTGTTTCACCACTTACACATTGGCAAAAGGTTTCTCTATGATGACTTTTTTCATCCACGGCAACCAAAAAATAGTCTCTCTGGGTGAGATTTGGGTAAATAGGAAGGATGGGGCCCGGGGATCATGCTGTTTTCTGGTCCAAAACCTTGAACACCCAACGAGATATGGGCTGGTGTGTTGTCATAGTAGAAGAACCAGTCACCTGTTTGCCAGAACTCAGGACATTTCTTCCACAAATCATGATACAACCTTCTCAAAACTTTCAGATAAAAACTTTGGTTGACTGTTTGATCTGGAGGGAAAAATTCTAAGTGTATACTACAAGGGACCCACTCTCCAAAAAGATAATTCCTGTTTTGGGGAGGTTTCCCCTTTAATGAGGTTTCCACAAGGCTGACTGTGGGACTTGAGTGTGCAAGGATTTGGTTATATGTGGATGGTCCTGGAACCAATCCCTCACATATACTGAGGGACAAGCATATATAACCCAGAATATTGTTGAATTCTTCCAGAATGTTAAAACAATCTTAATGGAGTCAGTCTCTCTCTTCAAATCTTCCTTTTTTACTATTTTCTGTTCATGTGTAAATGTATAGGAGATTGGAGAGTGGTCACAGTTGCTATTTGGCATTTCGTTACTTTTGTATTTAATGTTTTAAGAGCAGTTTTAAGTCAATTTTATAATCAAAGTGACTTCAGGTGGTCATTGTGAATGTTGATGAAGGACATTGAGATACAAAAGCATCTTTGGAAGTTACAGCAAAGCATGCCCCTTACATGGATCCTTTGAATGAAAGAATAATCTTTTGGATGGTTGGTGAAGGAATAGAAGCTGCTGCTATTTAATGTATTCTCTACTCTCAGTATATGGATGCAGCCTCCAAATTTTACAAAGAAAATAATCATCAGCACAGCATCTCTGCTTTCCTATGGATTGGTCTCTTTGTAAAGCAGCCTCGTGGTTTTCTTAGTAAGAGTATTTTATTTTAAAATGTATCTCTAGACACTTACTTCTGGTAGGCCTGGGAAAATGTAGATTACTTCATGTCTCTTAAAAATCCTTTCAAAGAAACAAGTCAAGCTCGATTTGTGTTTTTGAGATAGAGGAAAGTAGTAAGGTAGGAGGATGGAGGAAATCTTAACTTTGCTTTGCGGGGAGAAAAAAAATATCTTTCATTCCTTTGTTGACACCTTAGCTTCTGCATTAGTCATCGGTCCCTTCATCCTTGGTCATGGGTGGACCAAAGGAATAGCAACCATTTGCAGGTTTGTGAAAGGACAGTGCAAAGAGAAGGAAACAGCTGATGCAGAAAAATGTTGGAGTTTATTTCTCCCTCCAGGTTTTTACAGTTGTATTTTTAGATTAATCAGTGGTTTCTGGGTATTTGGCTATCTTTTTTACTCCTTTATTTCACTATTTTTGATAAAATGCCGTGCTAAGTTCCTAACCCTAATAGTGAGATATTATTCAAAGTCCCATGTTTAAAAATGTTGTAATACAATGAGTGCCACCTGGAATGGAAAGCTAGAGGACACAGTTAATACTGATGTTAAAAGAAAAAACTTTTCCTCTATCCCTTGCGTTTGAAATGGGGTCCTGTAAGTTAATTGACAATAGACAGACTCACGGGAGTAAAGGTTTATTCACACTTTTGGGAGTACTTGAAAGTGAGTAACTCTGAAGAGTTTCGAAATTTATGGAAGTAAGGGGTTATATACCAACTCAATGGCGGGGAGTTTAGGGAGTTAGAGGACTGAAGGCTCTGATAAGGCTCATTTACACAGTTTTTTGGACAGTCTCATGCCCATTATCAGTCATCTCCCTGACTGGAAACCTCCTTGAGAGGTGGAAGGGTTGTGACATGCCTCAGTAAAAGCTCTGCTTTAGTCAGGTTAGGGAAGCTCAGGTAGGATTTCATTCTGCATCCGTTGTTGGATTTTTGTTCCCTTCACTGATTTTTTAAATATTTATATATTGGCTGATTTTCAAATTATTTCTGTATGTCACATTGATTTCCACATTTTTTTTTAGGAATATAAGACAAACCTATCACCCCCGTTTCACAGGTAAGGAAATTGATGCTCAAAGAGTGTTTATTCAGAGCCATACAACTAATAACAGAGCTAAGATAGAATTTCAGGTATTCAACATTTGTCACTCCACCTTTGGGGTTCAGTTTGAGTAGTAATAAATTGAGTATCTATAGTCAGTCTATAAGTACTTTAAAGGTGCCAAGGTTGAGTAACATTTTATTTGTTTTGTAGGACAAGATGGTATAAACTGGTTCATCAGTGACAAAGACATTGAGGTAAAATCACATTATTTCTGAAATTCTGAAATATAGATTAATGATTTCCTTTGATTCATAATTTTCTTTATTATGAAAACTTTTAGAACATTAATAAACTTTAACAAAATAGTGATCTAAGAGGCTTATTAGAAAACGTTTGATTTTAGTATATGAGTGACTTAACTCTTCAGAAACTTGCTTCAGCCTTGATTTTTGTCAGTCAGTTAATAGTCGTAATCATTTAGTCCCCTTTTTCTTTCTGTTTCTTTGCTGCCGTGGTGAGTCCCCTCAGCCCGTATGGCCTGGTACCACTAAAGATCAACACCGGAAATAGCTGCTTCTTCAGTGTAAGGAAATGGTTAGTCTATTTTTAGGATATGGCAGGTGTTTGTCTTTGTCAATTGTTAGTCTTAATTGTGGCAGATGCTAAAAAAGAGAGAATAATTTTACAACTTGGTGGAAGTTTTTAAAAATAACAAGATTTTAGTAGCTACCTGTGACCTACTTGGCGAGCTCATCAGGATAACAAATAAAAAAATGAAAACCTTTTCAAAGGTGGAATTCTACCAAGGGTGGTTGGGATTTATATATTCCTCTTTAGACATGCCATGTGATATGTTTTGCTCATATTCTTTTGCAAGATACTAGATTCTGGCTAGAATATAAGTCAGCTAGCATTGGGTCACTATGTAAGGCAGAATGGATCTTACAAGAACTCTAGTGGAAGGAAATTATCTTTCTCTTCTAGAAATTATAACCCAGTCTTATAGGCAGTAAAGTTATGCTGTTCAAAAGAAGGGATATATTTGGTAGCTATTATAAATTTACAAAAGACAAAATTATAAAATACACCATCCTCTAACTAAAAGTTTAAGCAAGTCTCTCATGTATTTATAAAAGTCAGCAATGACTTTGGCCCTGAATTTTACCAAAATGTTTAAGTGATACCTGTCAGTACCCCTGCTAGAACTGAATCATATGTAGAGGAAGATACAAAAGAAAGGGAATCATACGAAGAAGTATAAAAGAATCAAAAGAAGGGGTAGGCCAAAAGGAGTAGAGTTATCTTTATGGCACCTCCTTTTGGGTTTTCCTACCTCTTATTGAGCGTACTAGAGAGATCATAAAGGTTCCCTGTTGCTAGGTTCTAAATTGAATAGATATGCATGTTAATGCTCTTGCCTTACCCAGGTAATGGACCGACTTGAAGTTTGATGTTTCTTTATTCACTGATAGTTGTCTTTTAAAAGAAAATGAGATGGTTTTTATAAAACAAATGAAACAGTTTTCAGTTTTTAAAATTCTTGATTTTCCTCCCCCTTAGGCCCAGATAGGTAATAACAGATCATCTGGAAAGTGGATACAACGATACTATTCAGCCAACAAAAATGTCACCTGTAGAAATTGTGACAAACGTGGCCATTTGTCAAAAAACTGCCCATTACCACGAGTAAGTGAAATATGCAATGCTCAGCCCACGTTTTAAAAATCAGAGTCTTAAGGTTGGAACTCTATAGTCTTCAAATTTAAATCTTTTTGTAGTATGTGAATTCAATTTCATGTAGGTTAAACCCTAGTGTTGGGGGAAAGAACAATAAATTTAGAGTCAGATACCTGAAATCAATTTCAGCTTCCCATTAGTAGTTGTATGACCTTGGGCAAATCACTTAACCCTCTGTGCTTCTGTTTTCTTGGCTAAAAGATGAAAAGATGGAATCAGATGATTCCTTAGAACCCATTCTCTTATACTTTACAAAACTGCTTACTTCATTGTGGGATCATTTTCATTGTTAGAAAATTATAATTTTAGGCATTTATAAATGTTTATTGATGTAAATTATGTTAAGCAGTTACTTCAACCTTTGAAACAACACAGAGCTAAAGCTCTTAGACATTCTCTGACACATAATAAGCACTTAACAAACATTCCTTCTATTACCTACTCCCTCTTCCAAATGACTGTCTTTCAAATAGTGAAGACAGCTCTCATGTTTCTTTTTGTTTTTGCTTCTTCAGGCAAAACAGCCTCTTCTATATCTGTATCTCCTATGTCTTACCTTCCAGATATTCTCATCATCCTACTTTCCTTCTTAGTTACCTTTCATTTTGTCAATATTCCTATAAGATAAGACGTAAAAAATGAAAGCTAGCTGCTAGTACACACAGACTAAGCCATTTTGACAGCCACAGTACACAGATAGCTTGTGTTAAAACTCTGATTTCAGACTTTTTAAAGTTTTATAATTGTTCTCAAGATTGGACCTTCACTGGGGTATCACAATAGAAATAACTTTTTATAGGATTATATATAAAAAGAAGTATTAATCTTCTGCTATTTTGAGACTAAAGCGTTTTGCTAAAGAGATTTTATGTTTTTCTGCCATATAGAAAGTTCGCCCCTGCTTCTTGTGCTCTGAGAGAGGACATCTCCTGTATTCCTGTCCAGCCCCACTTTGCGAATACTGTCCTTTGCCTAGGTCTTTGGGCCACAGATGTCTTTTCAGATATGCCTGGAGAAAACAGTGTGACCGGTGTCATAAGCTTGGCCACTATACTGATGTGAGTATCTTGCATATAACTAATTTGTCAGGCTTTAGGGATAGTGTGCCAGTTTGTGACTATCAGTTAGCCTATCTAAAAGAATGTTTACTCTGCACTTCATAGAATGATAGTCATGTCCATTTCGCTACTAAACATGTAAAGCAGTGTTCTAAATATCAGGGTGAAGTTCCTGTTGAATAGCTCATCAGGAGGTAACATCAGTAAATTTTTTAAGCCCATAATAGCCCCTTGATGTGTTTGCCTAGTAAAAGTTGAATGTAAAAAGAAGTATTTAGCCAGACACAGTGGTTCATGCCTGTAATCCCAGGACTTTGGGAGGGTGAGGCAAGAGGATTGCCTGAGCCCAGAAATTCAGACCAACCTGGGCAACTTGGCGAGACTTCGTCTCTACAATAAGTCAAAATATTAGCAGGGCATGGTGACATACGTCTGTAGTTCTAGCTACTTGGAAGGCTGAGGCAGAAGGATTGCCTGAGTCAGCAGATCGAGACTGCGGTAGCCATGAGTGTGCCACTGCACTCCAGCCTGGGTGACAGAGTGAGACTCCAACTAAGCAAACAAAAAAGAAATATTTAATAAATAACATGGAAGATTTGTATAGGTATTTATGATCAGTCATTCATTAATTTTTTTTTTTATGGGTCAAGATCTCACTCTGTTGCCCAAACTGAAGTGCAGTGAGTGGCTCAATCATGGCTCACTGCAGTCTCGAAACTCCTGGGCTACAGCAATCCTTTCACCTCAGCCTCCCAAGTAGCTGGTACTGCAGGTACACACCACCACACCTGGCTAATTTTTTAATTTTTTGTAGAGATGAAGTCTTGCTATGTTGCCCAGACTGATCTCGAACTTCTGTACTCAAGCTATCCTCCCACCTTAGCCTCCCAAAATGCTGGGATTACAGATGTGAGCCACTGAGCCCAGCATATTTATTTATATGTAAATGAAAATATATGAACAGTTAGCAGTTGTATACAAGTGTAGGAAGATTTGTTTCATGCTATTTATTAATTATTGTTGCTGGAATAATAGTCTTAGGAAAGAAGGACAAGCCACCCAGCACTTTAAATATGCTTATCTTGTTAACTCTCTTCTTTGGACTTAAAAAACAAAAGTAATTGCAGCATATTAAAAATGCTATTTTCACCATTGCCTTGCTAAGCTTTGGTGTGGCCATGTGTTCTTTGAGCTATGGCCAGGCCATGTTTTCTTAATCTTTGACGCTCCTCCCCTACCTTGGGAAGGTGAATTCCCTCTTTCTCTCTCTCTTCAATTTACTTTCTAAATAAACTATATTTTCTAATCTAAAATAAATAAATAAAAATGCTATTTTGGACATTCGTTTGCATAATATTGTAAGTGTGAATGGAGTTTAGTCACAATTTCAGATACCAGAAGAGCTATTGAAATAAGTAGGTACAGCTTTGATGTGGAATATGTAGAGTTTTCTACATTCAATTTACTCCTAACTCCTGATGAATGTCTCATTAAGGGTCTGTCATCTTAGCGCTTAATTGCATCTCTTACTACATAGTAACATATGTTTATTTTATATTAACAGCTAATCAGTACAAAGTCATTTTTCATATTCATACCTAGGTGCCAATCCTAATTGGCTTAAGGAACATTTATGAAAGGGTTAGCTCTCATTTTCTTTATTCAGGCATTACTTGTCTGTTTTTTAAAGTCATGAATATATTTTCCCTTTAACATATACTTCCCAAAGACATGATACAAAAGCACAAACTTTTTAAAATTTTATTTATGTTGAAATATGCCTATAGTCTTTTGCTCAAAAAAATTATGACTTTCTGTCTAAATGAATTTCAGATTAAAATTAGAGTCTGAGTGTTGGGTACACTTGTTTCTCATGTAAATAAATGACAATTATTGATTGTAATTCTGCTAATACATTTATGTTTAGATTGGTACCCAGCTTTTAAAACAAACTGTGGTGCAGTAAATGTTTTTTATTTGTATATATCTGTGTGTGTTGATGAGTATTTCGGTAAGTCAGTTTCTAAAAGTGGAATTGTGAAATTAAAAGATGTATACTTTTATGTCTGGATAAATATTGTCAAATTGGCTCTTCTAAAAATTATACCAGTGTATCCACCTACCAGCAGTGTTTAGAGAAATGAGAACTACACTCATCAACACTAAGTATTACCTTAAAGGTTTTGGCTAATCAGATAAAGAGAAAATGGCATTTTTAAAAATTTTGTATTTTTTACACTACTAATGAAGCTGAATATGGTTGATTAATTTGAGTGTTCTGATTCCCTAAATCAGACATAATGTCTGTTTTTAACTCCTTTCTTACAAAGAGTTCTCACAAATTATGATCTTAATTGTCTGTGTTACCAGAAAGAGGCATATGATCAGACATCCTCATAAGCAGTGTTTTAAAATAAGAAACTATAGTGTAGAGCAGTTAAAAATGACTTGTAGAAGGTTATATAATCATCTGTGAGTTAATTCTATAGCCCATTCTGCTTAACTTCTTAATTTTGGCCTCTAATATATGTTAAACTTTTATTTGAAGTGCAGCTTAGTAATCCAAATGAATACAAGTTTTTTACAATAGGGTTAAAATAATGGTGTGTGCTTGTAATTCCAGTTACTCTGGAACCTGAGGCTTGAGCCCAGGAGTTTGAGACCAGCCTGGGCAACATTGCAAGAGTTTTCAAAAAAATAAAGTAAAATAGGGATAGATTGTGACCATCTTCAGAGAAAGCAGCATGTTTTCCCCCAAATCTCCCAGCATCTGTTTTTGTTGTAATTACATGGTGAGGGCTCTGTACACTGATCTGTTTCTAGCCTGCCCCCTTCCTAAAGGATTCCCTTGAAGTCCATTCAAGCCTGGACTCCACTGACTCCTGGTGGAGAGGCTCATAGTCCTTTCACCACCTGAAACTGGCTCTTCGTGAGGATTCTCTTGGAAGCAGAGTCTTTCTAGCCCCACATTGTTGGAACTGTTCGGCCAGTCCCATACATGCTTTAGCTCTGTCTTGAAACCTGTCCCTCCACCGAAAATGTTGTTTACTTTGCAACCCTCTCAAATGTTTGTTGCTCATTCTTCCTGATCCATGTACTTCTGAATTAAAATACAGGATCACTCTTCTCCTCAGTTGCCATGGCTGCTTGCAAGTTATTACTCCTCCCTTTTTATGTAGGTATCTTTACCTGTCTTTGTCATTTTCATCTTCCCATTTTCAGAGAATTTCTAAAATCTTGGGTTACTATAAGTATTCTAGCCTTTTATAAATTGAGGATATCAAGAAAAGTATTCGGCTATAATTCCAGAATTTTATAAGATGAAGGACAGATAAGTAGCTCAAGGCCTACTAGCACTAACCTCGGCATAATTAGTGACTTTAAGAGGATGAGAATCTGGAGCGTGGAAATAATCCTAGTTCTGAGTGTGCCATAAAGTCTCTCCTCTTGCCAACAATTTTTAAATGTACAAAGAATTTTAAAGTGTGCTTACACATTTAGCTTACACACAGAGACCCATTCTGTGAGCTGTGGTTGACATTTCCAAGATAATGACAGCAATAATTGTGTACTTGATTGTGTTTCAAGCACTATACTGCTATATCCTTAGGTTATGCTAGGTGTTCAAAAGATTTTAATCCTGACAACCAGTGTGTGAGGTGTAGGTTCTATTTGTTACTCCCATTTTACAAAGAAAAACTAAGACATTGAAAGATTAGAGCAGGGCCTAGTCCAGCCGTTGCACAGTGCTGAGGGCCCACCTGGGGTCCCAGGGATGCTGCGGCTCCTCTGCCTGTGTCTGCTGTGGCCCTGGCTCCTTCAGGTTCGGTTCTCTGTGAGCTGAGTGACATCACTAGAGCCAGGAAGCTGTGCGGCAGGCACCTGGTGAGAGAAATAGTAAAACTCTTGGCCATGCTAACTAGAGTTCTGTTCGAGAAGAGAGACCTCTTTAGCACAGCTGGTTCCCCAGGCCTCGGAGAAGTTTGACGCCTTTATGCCCAACCATTTCAGAAGCCCCCAAACCCCTTTCCCAGTCAAGGGGAGAGGCACAAACCCAGTGTCTACTTCTGCCTTTCAGGAAGAAGCAATAAACAGTTGGGAGATATAGCACTGCCTCAATATCCATATGAAAAGGTAAACTCACCCCCTATAAGACAAGAGAATTTTTCTTATCACATGATATTAATCCATATATTCATGAGAGTGTAAAATTTGAGAAAAAAAGTGTAAATAAAATTAAAACCTTAAGCAATCTGTTTTGGGAGAATCATCCCCAAAGAAAATGTAGAGGATACTCAGAGAAATGTTGTCTTAGAGGATGTACAAAAAAACTTATCACTGCATGTCTTCCATATGTTGATTTTGAAAACTTAAAGGAAAAAGAATCATTGCTTGTGACTGAGATATACTAACCATTATAGGAATTCTACTAGTTTAATAAAAGTTTAATATATTTAATTTAAAAAAAGAAAGGTTAATAAGCTTTTCCCAAAATCTCAAAACTAAAATTACACCATACTTTATTAATACACACAGAGAAAGCTTATATGTTGACATTTTAGCAGTCTTCAGTTTAACACCTTCTCAGAGGATCCCTTAAGTTCTTGTCTTAAGTCTATGGATACTCTAGATCGAGTAAGCAACTTTGATATCAAACTCATGTATTTTTAATGTCAATATATTATAAAACACATGAAGAAAAGTATTTTCCAAATAAAAATAAATTATTGCTTAGGTTTTTGCTCTTTATGGAACTTCTGAGGATCAAGAAAGCAGTATAGAATATTGATGTTCAGCCTCAGAACTAATTCCGTGATACCGTAAAGCTGTGCTGCTCATAAGAGACCATTTCAGCTTAAGCAATCTTTATTAATTGTTGAGATTGCACCCTTTTTCATTAAAGCATAATGAATGAGTCAGTGTCAGGTATGATTATAACCTAAACCTCCTAAATTTTCTCCCTTTCTTCAGCATTTCTTCCCCCCTCAAACTCCCTGCTC